TCATTTGCTTTTTGCAGAAACTGCTCTAGCGAAAGCTTGGAGAAGCCAGCGTATTTCGCCAGCTACAGGTGGATCATGGGATCTGTGGCTCATGAGTGTATAGCTATGAGCTCTACATTGAAGGCTGGGAGCTACTAGAGTACTGTACTACCGTATTCGGCACTACCGTATCGGCACTAAAAGGCAGTTTTGGTTTTCAAGAAGTTCATGTAGCTCATGAACCGACCAGACAACTCCAACTCCAGCATGCATCATACCAAACTCTCCTGCGTCATTCCTGCAGGCTAGCCTAGGCTAGTGGCTCGAAACATGGTTGCTTGGAGCCTTCCTGGCAATTGTTGCTTGGCCACTGTATTCAGCAATGCCGGCACTCTTATCATTATTGCTGCCTGCCTACCGGTACCATGTCCTTCATCGGCCATCACAAACAAGGCTCTGCTTAGACAGCTGCTTAGACTCAGACTCACCTGCTCCCGTTTTTCTCGCGCGTCGCTGAGTGCGTAGCTAGAAAAACAAAACAACGGTGTGCTTGTGTAGCTTGCTATCCCAATATCCCAATTAATTGCTTTCAAGTAAGAAAGTTCAGTTTCTGCTCAAAGAGCAGAGCAGAGTGTTCGCAGGCGGCAAGTACGCTTAAGTCCGCTTGATGTTTTTCGGTACTGGCTTTTGCTCTTTGTGTTCAGTGTTCAGTGTGATGGAAACGAGGCAAATGGATTGCCTTGAAACAAGTTCCCCAGCTTCACGCATCGTCGAGCCCAAGGGCAAGTTAGTTATGACCCATAGTTGTACATCCAGCCATGCTTCGAGTTCGTCGACAACTCTTCCGATTGTCATACATTCTTCACCAACCATTCAGAATTCCCTTCTCCTCCGCCATCCGAAACAGGTAATAGGGCATAGGTTTCTTTCCTCTTATTGTTTTGCTTGCCTTCGTTTTTTGCCGGTACTGCAGTACTCCTTCTCCAAAGCAGTTCCGAAGCTCAGTTGTACAGTAAAGGTATGATGTATGTATTACATACATACATACATGTATCTAACCACAGCTGGCTGCCGTATACGCTTAGGTAGCTAGTCGGGTACTGGGACAATCGCTTGAATCGCTAATGCCGTTTTTCCAGTTAGACGCAGACAATCTGAATGGTACACTACCATACCGGTACAATCTACCGTACTTTACCTACCACAGAGGCAACGTTGAATAGCTCGTTGAATTCAGAGGACAACTGGACCAGCTGGAAGCTCCACTACCGGTATCGAAGCAAAGGTCTGGTGTCAAGTAAGCGTCAAGTCTACCGACGCTGCTGTGAAGGGTTCCGAGGCCTCAACGTGCCGGGTGCGAGGAGAACACAAGGGTGCTGCTGCGGCAGGCAGATAGCTAGCTAGCTAAACGAAACAATGAACTTAAGGTTCGGCTTCAAGAGTTCGCACCACACCGGTACTCTGCGCCAGTCGTAAACATGGTTGTCTCCAAAACTACATTCAAGTATCAGTAGACTGCATAAAGCACCTCTATTGACACTGATGTATTATGCTTGGTACCTCTATCCTTTCGAAGTACTCTGTCTGCAGCCATAGTAGCTCTATCGACACTCCTTCCTCTTTCGACACTCCTTCCTCTATCGACATCCTAAAGGTATCGACACTCACTCCTTCCTCTATCCACACTCCTTCCTCTATGCATACATGTACTATCCACACAGCCAACACTGGGCAAGAGTGGATGCCTGATACTGAGGCAACACAAGGTGCTCTAGCTAGCATAGCCAGCGATCGTATCTACTGGTAGCTACTAGTAGTATGCTAGTGGTACCGGTAGGTCTTAGGTAGTATAGAAATTACTGTACAAACCCAAGAATATTACCTGGGCCTTAATGCACTGCAGGTCTTAAAGCCCAGATCACTCTAGTAGCACTCGATTTATAGAGCACTTCTTGAAGCGACCAATGAATATCTTGCAATGCCCCGTGTATTCGAATGGTTAGGTTGAACGGTGTTTGAAGGGTACTACTGCAGTAGTAGCTGGTTAAAGGAACCATCCTCACTGGAACCTGCGAGCCAGCTACCGTAGCTAGGAACCTGGTTTGGTTGAAGGGTGTTTGAAGGTAGTTGAAGGCACGTTCCTCACCGGCACCTGCTACTTGAGTTGCTCCTAGGGCCTTTTATCAATTGCAGCAAAAAGTGAGTATTCTAAATATAATTTACTGGGATTGACAGAGACAAGCCTTCTGAAGCAAGGATTTTACCGCAACCAAACCAGGACTCAGACTCGCTCTTATGGATCAGGATAGGACCTATCTGCCATCTTTGTGACGCAAAATATGTCGCACTGCCACGCGCCACTGGCTTGCGACCAAAATTAATCAAGATGGGTTCTGATCTTGGCAGCTGGATTTGGCCGTAATAATTTTGGAGGATCAGAACCCATCTTGATTAAGTAATGAAAATTTCGCCAGCCCAGCCGGCCAAAATAGGAATCACGTCACATATTTCAAGTAGCGCTAGCCTTAAACCCTCGTATGTTACGCGATCGAACGAAGATGTCAACACGACAGATAATGACACAACAAAGAAGAGGATAATAGATTCGCTAGCTAGCATTGATAGTTTCCAGTGTATTTGATCATGGACCCTGCAAACGATGAGCTCTTTGACTTTGACATGGCAATGGGGTTGTCTGAGATGGACCAGCTCTTGGCCATTCAGTTCATTGGGTTCATGTTTGGATTCCTTACCCTGGCGGAGAAGAAAGTGGCAACCTTTATCAAGGAACGCAATCCGTCATTCTTTGAACAACGATTGTGCTGGACGCAGTATTGTGAGAAGCACACCGCAAGAGGAACATTCAAGCGCAGACTTCGCATGACGAAAGATTCCTTTGATCTACTTTTGTCTTTCATTTACATGGATTTGCTCGTGAATGAGCAGATGGCGAGCTTGAGGGGTGGTACCATCATACCTGAGTTGTGCTTGTATAGCACTCTCCGTTGGCTTGCAGGAGGCTCGTATCTTGAACTCTGGCATGTCAAGGGCCTCCTTCTACCGCGTCCTGTGGAAGACTATCCATGCAATTGTCAGGTGCCCCGAACTGGCACTCCACTGGCCAGGCACTCCACAAGAAGTCCAGGCAATCGTTGAAGGCTTTTCCTCCATCAGTTTCGGCAATGCCATAAGCAACTGTGCTGGTGTTGCTGATGGCTATCTCTGTCGAACAAGGGTTCCATGGAGAAGAGAGGTCCAAAATGTCCGTTCTTTCTTCTCTGGACACTACCAATGTTATGGTGTAAACGTCCAAGGAGTAGCAGACCATCACTGCCGCTTTACTTTCTTTGCTGTGGCTGGACCTGGAGTGGCAGGAGACCGAGAAGCGGCGGAGCACTGTGGCTTGAACGCACTAATCCAAGGACTTCCCCAGGGAATATGCCTTATTGGGGATGCTGCCTATGAACCGACAGAGCATATGGTTCCAATCTACCAAGGCAATGACAAGTACAATGCCAAATACGACAATTTCAACTTCTATGCCAGTCAATGTCGCATCCGGATTGAGATGGCATTTGGCCTCATGCGACAAAAGTGGGGTATCTTGGCCCGTCCGCAAACCTGCTCCCTCCACAACCTCAAGTGGCTGCTTCAAGCAATCGCAAGATTGCACAACTTCTGCATTAATGAAAGACTGGCGGAAGAGGAAGAAGAAGAAGCTGTGCAGGGAAGCTACTTGCCCTCCGTCCCGCATGAGGAAGATGGGGATCCCGTGGTGCTCAATCCACTTTTCGAGGGTGTTGATGTTGGCGGATTCCGTGGACACTCTGAGCTCCGCGAGTGGATGGCAGAAAGGGTTGAACGTCTTGGCTACACTCGCCCTGTCCGCAACAACAACAACAACGACAACAACAACTAGTAGTAGTAGTACGTAGATAGTAACAAGTAACCGCACATTTCTGTTTTCTTATTAGTTCTTTAGTTCTTCGACACCGCTTTCTTATTCTTCTCGTCGCACACTCCATCAAATTGTTCTTCACTATTCACTCCATCAAATTGTTTACGCACTATTGTTCTTGTTTCTTATTCTTCCATCGAGTTGCTCTGGCGGCCAGGCAAGAAGTCTGTATCTTTGACAACTGAAAACTCGAGTTGGATCTCAAGTTTGTCCTCAAGTGCACGAACTCTTGTTGCTAAGTTGTGGAGCAACGGAGCAGCATTGCCATTATCACGCAAATCCATGACTCTAAGGGACAATCGATCATACTCATTCCACATTCTTGCAAGCCTTTCTTCAGCAGCTTGAGAGGTCTTCATGTCAATGTATGTCTGTCGCTGATCCGCTGCAGTCTTCGTGCTTTCATTCCATGCGCCCAGTGAGCTGATAAGGGACTCATTTGCTGATGAACCGGTGCTTGCAGTACTGGGAGTGGCAACACTTGCATTGTTTGGCGGTGGAGCTTTGGATGCAGTGGGAGTAGAAGTCGAGGAAGCAGCAAGATCCTCTGACAGCATGGCATCCCATGATCCCTCTAGCTGGGGGTGAGCCTCGCGAATACGGTAGGCATAATAAGCAATTTCAGCTGCAACCTCCACGCCTTTGCGAATTGTCAGAACACTCTTTCGACAGAAGGACCATGGGTCATTGGAACCTTGACCTGACTTCTTCATGGCTCCGTGGATCTTCTCCACCGATTTCATTGCATCCTTTACCAACTGACAGCAGCTCTCGTGGTTAAGCTTGTTGAAGTTTCTAGGATTAATTGGTCCGGCAGTGACCATGTCGAATTGCCGTTCGTCTTCCTCTTCAACAGCACCATAGATAGTGCACAACTCATTATCGTTCTCTGTATCGTTGTAGAACTCAGCAATATCAATCCAAAACTGTTTGTACGGTCCTGCTGTATTGCTCTCGTGATCATTCCTTGTCTTGTTGGCATGTAGATCCACAAACCTTTGGAAATAGTTAGCATGAACACAAACGTTGATGAGACGATACACAGAGTTAATTTTGAGCTCCCTGGCAGAGGCAAACGTGTTGAGGATCTCTGGGTTGTTGTATGCTGTGGCTGCAGTGCATCGAATGGCCATTCGCTTTCGAATCTCGAACTTGCCAATAGAGCTTACTCCTTTACATCCAAAGTTCGTTGCCAACTTTCGAAGCTGCTCACAAGTCAAATTCTTATCTATGTCAAACTTTTCGAAGTTCCCGCGACTCTCACTGCCAAAGACAATGAACTGTGCCACCGTAAATGGTCCAGGATTGTCCTTGGAGCGACTGTACATCTCTTCACCAAGCTCAAGTCGGTGTTTATGCTCGTAGGTAAATGCAGCCACCTTTGGAGGCAATTCAGTTGTCTTCCGCGGAACACTCTTCTTCTTTTGACCATCATTGTTTTCTTGGGGAGTGGGTGGACGACCGTCTTGGGGAGTGGGTGGACGACCTTCTTGCGTTGGTGTGGCACGACCAGTGTTGCTCCTTGACTTCTTGGTGGTCGCCGAATCCATCAAGACCGGTGCAGCTGGGCTGTCAGACCTACGTCTTGCTACTGGAGATGCAACAGGCAACTGCGTTCCTCTGGCTGGTGGAACACGCGAGAAGCCTGCAACAGGGGCAGGGGCAGGTGACTGACGGAATCCCATCAAATGGGTTGGCATGGGGCACTGATTGTCTAAATAACGCTGCCATTCTGCTTGCGACTCCTGTTGTTGTCGGATGTATTCCCTCTGCACGTTGGGATGCAAGCTTGAAAAGGTGACCCTATGCATCTGATCAAGGGGACGGAACGCATTTGGCGAAGGTGCTCCTCCAGCTGGCATCGCTGGGAATTGTGACAACGAATCCGGCTGGGACAACTGGGGTGGAGACACAAGATCAACAAAGTCATCTTTCTGAGCTGCCGTCTTCTCTGGAGTATCTTTTAACTCCTCATCTTCCGAGGAAGAGGAAGAAGACGATGATAAGTTGATTTCACCTTCCAGAAGACGTGAGGATCCATATTGCCCTGGACGGGCTCTCTCTCTCTCCTTTCTGGCCTTCTCCTTTCCGGCCTCTATCTCCTGAAGTTGTCGTTCGATGTATTCATCATCAGAATCCTCCTCACTTTCTTCTTGGATGGCCTGCCTCATCTTGGCTTTCGACTTTGGTTTCTGCGCCATCATTATTGCAGCAAACCAATCCAGCCACTGTGGTGGCTGGTGGGCTAACAACTTGAATTCAACCAAATAATGAGACCGATTCAGTAGAAACGAGATCTGGAAACTCCGCATTTTATATTATCTACGTCAACCAATGCAAAGATGCGAAAAGCGTCGCAGAATGCAGTTGAACTGCCCCAATAAACTCCTCGTCGCTGCATACCCTATTGCTCTCTCTTAGTCCGTTTCGAACGTTCTACATGCTCTCCAAAAAGTCTACATATTCTGTTTTGGCTGTGTAGTTCTTGCATCTTTGGGAGCTACTCCGAGTTGATTGTGCGTTTACAGAAGCTATCAAAAATGTGAGAAAAATGAGGCCAATCCTGTCATTAGATCCACCATCCTCGGAGGTGCGTTAAGAAATGAGGTGATGGGCGATTAGAGGTCATTTGGTTAAGACTGCCCTGCAGGCTGCATGTGTTTCGATCTTACTCCATGTGCCACACGTCAGCATGCAGCGTCACAAAGATCAGAATAGAGGTGCGGCCAAAAGATCCATAAGAGCGAGCCTCAATGACGCTTCTGGAGCGAGAGCAGAAAGCTGCCGGAAAGAAAGCTTGGTCTGATGCAACGCATGCTTTGAATGGAACAGTGGCTTCTTGCTTCCCCTTGTGTTTCCTAGTTTCGCAGCTGCTAGCTAGCAAGCATTTTCAGGCTGAGCGAAGAGCCCAAGCAACCCAGCCGTCCATGCTCAGCTGGAGGCCAGTACAGACAACTCTTCCTCGACATGCATCGATTTAGATTTCCTTCATTTACTGCTGCGCTTTTTGCTATATTCCCAGCCTCTCAGCGGAATCTACTGTACCAGTACTATATAGCTAGAGGCAGGGTTTCCTTCTCTTTATGCAATTTTTGCTATTAATAGCTAGCTGTGGTCGACCGTCCAAATAGGTGCTTACCATCAAGATCATCAAAGGTCAAAGTGTCTGGTTCTGGATCGGCCATTTCACCCAAAATTAATATCCATTTTCTCACATTCATCTGCTCTGGGATGTGTGCTGCATGTACCATAGCCCAAGACAAAGAAAATCAAAACCGCGACAGTGACCCAGGATGGAGCAGACCTCGGACAATGTTGCCAGGCATGGATTGATATCGTGGTTCAGAGAGCAAGAGAATCCCCACGGCTACCCAAATGGCCTGCACTGGCAAAAATCCACTCTTGGAAGGAGCCATTCCAAATCCCATGACTTGCCGGTACGACTGAGGGAACATGTCGGCTTGCAGACTATTTTTGCGTCGCATTTGATAGTCTTTTTGATAGCTGGGGACACAGAGAATTCCCATGACAATACCCCCCAGAAATCCTCCCATGTGTCCGGCATTGCTGACGGATTCCCACCAGAGCCCGGATACAAATAGCAACAACATACTTTGCAGAATCCGACTGGCTCCTTGGGATTGTCCCATTTTGGTCAATGCCACATACATCAAGCCGTAGAGGCCACAGATACCTCCACTGGCTCCCAGACAAAATGTGCGAGCCGGCGACGATGCCATGACAATGGAATGACCAATATTTCCCGTGACAATGGCTACCAAAAAGGTCGTGACAAAGAGCGACGTGCCCAATCCAGATTCCACCCACGAGGGTAATTGTCGCAAGGCGTACAGATTGAGAAGTAGGTGAAGGATATCGCCATGGAGAAAGCCAGCGGTCAAGAATCGAAACGGTTCTCGATTGGAAAGATAGTTAATGTGGACAAAACTGGTGGTCAGTGGACCTCGGACATTGGTGGATCCCAGCAGGGTATCCGTAATGATGGAAAAGGCGTGACGCGGCCAATACCGTGGATTGCGCTGCACGATGAGTTGCACTGTGCTGACGGTTTGATAAACAAACATGAAGAAATTGGCAAAAATCAGAGTGCTGCGACCTGGATTGTCGTTAGATCCCATGTTATAGTTGCTTCGACGCCACATTCGTCGACGCATTCGTTTTATCCATCGAAGATCGTCCCCATCCCAGTCACCACGTCCAATGTGGCGTGGAGTCAATGGCAGATACTGTTGTCTGGTTCGTGAGGGTGTCACTACCAATCGAGGAGGCATCTGGAAGGCACTTGTCGGAGACATGAAATTGGAGCATGCTAGCAACAGACACGCAAGAAAGCTGAGTTTCTTCGATGGGATTGGTTTCCTTCGAGGAATCATGGTCAGGGCTTATCCTGTCGTCCTACATGTATGTGCCACGAGGTGACGAGGTGTGAATGTTTGTGGTTGTCTTCCTTCCCTTCCCTTGCTTGGGTACCGGTAGGGTTGGAGATTGGATCTTTGCTTCGGCAACAATAAGCCAGGCAGTTTGATAAGATTGTTAAACTAAGCCAGTGAAAATGTTGGCAAAGGGGGTTTAGATCAAGCAGATTATTGCCCCCACCAGACTGGGGGTTCTTCCAACTTTTATCGGCAGGTGTGTATGTGTGCTAGTTAGTGTGTACGTCTCTGTGTGTGCTGGTTAGTGTGTACGTCCGTCACATAAGGGGAAGTTTCCCTTGTATGGAGCTGTGTTTAGTTTGACACAGTTAGGTAAGAACAGACAGCCGAAGGCTGATGCCCTCAACTGTCAAAAAAGAGATTTGATTCTTTGGCCAAATCCAACACTGTGTTCAACTGAACACACAGTCTACTGTAGTCTATCGATAGCCAACCAAAACACACACATTGGTACTCGGAGTATGTTTTACCAGCTAACAATTAATATTTACCTCATCCTTTATGACGGACGTACAGACTAACTTGCACACATACTCTGCTACTCGGAGTATGTTTTACCTGCTAACAATTATTATTTACCCCATCCTTTATGGCGGACGTACATACTAACTTGCACACACACATAGTTTGGTACTCGGAGTATATTTTACCAACTAACAATTATTATTTACCCCATCCCTTATGCCGGACGTACAGACTAACTTGCACACACAGGGACGTACAGACTAACTTGCACATACAGCGATAAAAGTGTGAAAGACCCTCAGTCCGTTGAGGGCAAAATTGAGAGACTGTGTTCAGTTGGACACAGTAGCTTTAAATAGTGTTCAGTTAAACACAATAGCAAAAATCGAGAGACTGTGTCCAACTGAACACAGTAGCTTGAAACCAGAAATGAGATTGAGATATAAGCCAACACATAAAATTAAGAAGCTGTGTTTTGTTGGACACAGTACCAGCTGCAGTGCTCATGGAAGCTAGGTAGAAATTAGATGTAAGCTAACAATGAAATTGATTTGATATTTAGCTCCGAACTAATAGAAAGCTATTTTCTCAGCTGTATTGATGCTGCCAGTGTTCTTGTTCTGCCCTAGAGGCGTGTGGTGCTGGTGGTAACTGGAACAACAGCTCTGAGTCTGAATTTGAGTGGAAATAATAATGAGCTGCCCGACTAGAAAGATCAGCCCAATACTTAAACCAATCAATTTGCTTTTGAGCTTCACTGCGGGTCTATGAGCTTTAAGAAGTGATCTTTGAATGATTTTTCCTGTGCTCAGCTTGAGGCTTTCCATGATAATACTCGGTGTATTTCATTGCCATTTTTGCAAATGCTTCTTTCTCATCAGTACTTTTGTTTTCATTAGTGGTTTTGGTTGTGGTTGTGCTTGTGCTTGTTGTATGAGGAAAAACATACCTGACACCTTCTTTTATGACGTGTGGTGTTAATGCATTCTTTTAGTCCGGTTTGCATGCATTTTCATGATGCAAGGAACCGTGGGAGTTTTAGGTCTAAAATGTTGCGGGGGTCCTTATATCCAAATCAATCACAAGAATTGCTACGCACCACCAGAAAATCCTCACTTTTGCTTTTCAGCTTAATCAAAACCCAAATTACTCCCCAATAAACTGCACAGTATTACTAGATAACACTGAAAAGCAAAGGCCCTTCTCGAGTTCGAAGAAGTCAACCGTCTCGAGACAGTAAGTCAAGTGGATACCAAGTCAAAGTGTATTTAGTCAAAGTGTATTGAGTTACCCACTGCAACAGAGGAGAGGTGCTAAGAATCAGCCTCTAGCAACACTATCAGAGCATCGACAAGCCTCTAACAGGCAAGAGGTGCGCGCGGGAAATCATCGTCATTGTCAATACAGTCCAGATGACCTGTTTCCGGCGGACTGGAAGATCTAGTCAAGGTGTCGCGGGAAAGTTCACACGATTCGCTCTGTCACTGGTAAGTTCTTTATCGTGGTTTATTTCCAATCGCGGCGAATGACAAGGACGGATTTTGTTGGTTTCAACGGCAGGGCATCCGGCCGTCGTAGTGCGACGGGTTGAGAGGGTAATCAGTGTAGGGTTTGCGTTTGGTTAAGTGCGTTTTTCTGGTAGTGTTGTGGTTGTCGTGCTTGTGAGGCCTCCGGGTACCGTTTGGAGTGTTTCAGAGGAGTTTGTTTCGAGTGTCAATCCGTTACTCTCAAGTATGCGAGGTCTTGCGGAACGGGCTCGAAGCCTACGAGGTGCTATACGGCTCTTAGCCTTTATCGCGACTCGATCCTAGATAGGGTTTGTTTTCGACTCATGACTGAGTCTTTCGTGAATTGTCATTCAGGGTTTCTCTGACTTTCGATGGTTTTTTTATTTAGATGGCGTGGAGAGATTCGCTACTAGATAAATGCTGAACGAATCTTCAACGCGTTCCGTTGTTGGATCGTGGAGTGAGTAGGATCGCTAACGCAACCTACTCTAACACACTCTAAAGTCTCCCACGGGAGTTCAGATCTACGTCTTTGATTGGGATCTCTCTCGTTGATTAGTTTATAAGTTTTTACCTTTCTAACTTTATTTATCTCAGAACTACCTCGAAGATCTTTACACTTGTTTTTAGCGTAGTGCATTTTTGTTAACAAACACAATAGTTTTCAGCTACCCTCAAACTATGCCTCATCATGAAGATTGCCAAGGACGCATACACCAGCTTCGGGTCTAAGCTGCGCGACAAAAAAATCCTTCCTCTCATCGAACTCGATGATGAATGCGAAATCGACGATTTTCGCTCTACCTTACATTCGCTCACTATTCCGCTGCTAGGGTCACCTACAAAGTAGGTCGACCCTATTGCTCGATTGGTTTATTGATGGACCAAATCGATACCTTTCGTCACTAATATTTCGTCGAGGTTTTTCGGTTTGCGACGATCGACGGTCGTTCAATGGTCGATTCAAGAGTCTTTGCGCCAGTGAGTGCCCAGTGCCTGTTTTGGTTGTCGCACCTCAAACACAAGCCTATCAACAGGCATCTCGCTACGCTTAGCAAAGGTTGCATTGCGAGGTATCATGAGTAGCTGGCGTAGCGTCAGGCTCGTGAAAGAGGAGAGGTTGGAGACTACCTTGGTGGCAATCGGCGAGCCCGGACGGAAGTCGTGTAGATTGTATTTGTCTTGTTTGTGTTGGAGTTCAATTGTCACGTAGTTGCCAGACTGGAAGGGAGAAGGTCGTTATGCCGGGGAAGGAGTATAGATATGTCGTTCTTCTGGGTTCGCCTCTTTCAGCGGGCAGTTCAGTATTTCCATCTCTATTATAGGATCTCTCTC